AAAAAAGCATATTTTTGACCCAAAATCAAAAACGCATTCTGGATATTTAAAATAAAGACAAGTTTTACAAAGTTTGTATAATAAGCTTTCAGAAAATATATAACATGTTGGATATATAATACCATCTTCATTGTCTAATTACTCAATTAAAAAGCAAGCCAAATAAACTGCATCTCTACCTTAATAGACATTTCGACAGAACATGTACTTACTGCTGAAATAACAAATATGGTATAACTTTTTTAAATTCTATAGTTATAACTGCTTTTTATAATGATAATGAACTTGTTTACAACAAGGTATCCTCACATATGTTGCTTGAGAAATATTTGGTAATAAACAATTATATTTCATTATTTGTAACTCAATATCTATTTAGGGACCACACCAGCAATCTTGGCACCACCTCTTCCACCATTTCTACATGTTGCACACGATGGCAGCTGTGTTCCACCTCTGCCACCACCTGCTGATCGAGTCACAGTGCCAACTTTCAGTCAAGCATCAGCTGGGCTAACAGCGTTAACGGCAGCACCTCCACCACCACCACCTCCAGATGAACCTGATGACCTTTCTACATCAAGGTAAATGATACAATCTCATGAATTATCATACACTGTAGTAGACTTAATGGACGAGTTTCAAGTTATAGCGCCGTCAGTCTGTTTCTGTGCTTGATTGAGGGGTGGGGGAGATTTCTAACTTGCCCAATTTGTTCATTGGTTTTTCTGGTTCCCATCACCCTGATAATCAAATGTTGAAACAGAGAAATAACCCCCTCCTCCCATAAAGACGAAATTGGAATGTTTTGATACCAGAGCACACAAGTTTCTAAAGTAACAGCCATTGTTTTTTGTAAACCTTATTTTTGCAAAAATGTTTTTTCAACTTTCTCAGTGTGTGCCACAGGAGGCGGCTTGACTAGCTTGGTAAACGATCTTTATCAGTGGTCCTGTGTTCATACGTGTATAAAGACTAAACTAAGCTGTCATGTTTCTATAAAAGAAAGGTTGACACTGAGAACGTGCTTTTAAGGTGGTGTTATTGTTCACACTTGCTAAAACTCGTATTCAAAAATTGCCATTTTAAGACATCATAAACTAAATCGCCATGGCGCCGGCTTATCTTGTTTGTACGTTTTTCAACATCGACTTAACTGTAAAGCTTGTCTCCAAACTGGGTTTTTATTAATATATATTTGAATGCCAACCATTCAGTCAAAACCAAAGCAGTTAGCCAATTCGCTAGCGAGTTTGCAAATTGGCTGCCCCAATACTTCTGAGACTTGCTGTAATAGAGAATAACAAACACAAACTGGTCACATGACTGTGATTGCAGGGATAGTAGTTAAACTTCAATGATTGGCAGGTTTTCTTGCGCTATTTTAGAAGTTGACTTTGTAAATGAAATGGGACTTATGAACAGCTGTGCATATATTTCTTTGACATTTCTTTACTTTACAGGCTTTTAAAATTCTATTCAGAGACTTTTTTATTGTGGATTGTTTAGCTAATCTTACTTTGGATCTTAGTTCTGTTTAGTTTTCTTGGTCTCTGGAGGTAAATACAATCTTTATGTAAGAAGCCATTTGGCATTACTTTGGGTTGATTGTGTCTGCTCCTCTTTAACATTTTAGAATTTTGTAGTTAGATACCTGGGAAGTATCTGAACTACCCAGTACTATTATCTGAACTTTGTGGCAATACAGGGTCCATAATGTTGGGAAAATCCTTTAAAAGTCTTTGGAATTTTTGACGTCTGGAAAGTCTTTGAGTTGTCTTTAAATTACAGGAAAAATAAAAGTCTTTAAATTTCTTCATAGTTATTAATTAATTTAAGAAAGGCCTGTTTTCTTCTTGGAACTACCATATCTTCAGAACTTGATGAGCTTTGGTAATGTTGGCCTGAATTAAGAGTCAAAATGGGGGAAATGCAAGAAAGTTTGGGAAAAGGTCTGGAAAAGTCTTGGAAATCATTTGACTCTTGGTGCTATGGACCCTGTAACATACTGTTTATCATTTCATTATGTTTTACTGCTTTCGCCTGCAGCGCAGCTATCACACATATCATGTCACACACATGCCTGGCTACTTCAATAATTTCCTGTCTCGTTGAAATTCAAAATAAATATGATTTCCACAAATGTTTTCTCTACTCTTTATAAAGTAGACCCCCTACCTTCATAAACCTGCTCAAGTTATAATAAATAGACCTGCAAAAAGTAAAATATAACGTATGTAAAATGACTCCACTAGGATTTTTATAAAAAATGGACAATAAATTGGCAGGGTAGATGAACTTTATCTCTAGATGGATAAATGTTTCTAGTTTGAATCTGGATTGATTCCAACTTACTACATTGCCAGAATACCAAATACCACATCTTGTTACCTAATTAACATTTTATCTAATTATTTGCTTCTGGTCACTGATACTTTTATCGTAAATGTAGTTTTAATAGTGTGATGTACTCCTATTATAGACTTCTATCACTCTGCCATATATACATTTCGTTATCCATGTAGGGTTGGTTAATGTGTTTGGTAATTGTCACCTGTCTATTAATCTAAACTCTTTTTGCCAAATTAACCTTACTGGTATGGTGATACATCAGAGCAGGTGGAAAGAATGTGACTGAAATAACAGCCATGCATGCTGGGAAAGCATTCTGTTTATTTCTATTTTAATTCTCAAATCTACAAATTCATCATGCTTTTTTTGTGTACTGTAAATTTAACATCTTGAAATATGTTTGTTTGTTTATATTCAATTGTCATCTCTCCTATTCAAATACACCAAGCTGATTGGAGGAGAATAAATCACAATACAGTATACACCTTGAGCAAGATGATTGTGCAGCAGGGATTAGCAGCAGAGTTTATTATGTTGAAAATAAAATAACATCTTCTTGAACAGTGGCTGTACCTCTGTGAATAATTGTCACATTGTGGAAACAACTCTTTAGTTAGCCTCAGTTGCAGTTAAGAATTCTTTAGTATCTTTTATACAATATTGTATTTTATTAGTCCCTGTTCGGACGAAGTCTGAAAACGAGGACTTATAATTCGGTTTTCATTCAAATTTGGTACATAGAATATACATGTTAGGATACATGTCCTCCGACCGTCCGTCATCCCTGAGTCTGTCCGTCCGTCAGTCCGTCCATGTGTCAGTCTGTCCATATGTCAGTCTGTCCAGAGTCATATTTTAAAATCCTTTGGACTGATTCAGTTCATTCTTTGCATGTGCTTCGTACTTTATGTGGGACATATGCACATGCAGTGGTTTAGCAATTCGATTCAAAATGATCGACTAGCAGCCATCTTGTTTTTTATATGTGGTATCTTGGACGTGCTTTGTCAGTTTTCATTCAAATTTGTCACATCCCTTATACATGTTAGGATACATGTCCATGACAATTTGTTTCAAAATCTGGTCAAGGATGGCCGATTGACAGCCAATCTGACGTTTTGGCCTTATTACTACATTTCCACAATTTATGTACCATTTTCATTCGTATTTGGTACATACATCATGCATATCAGTGTGTTTCATAATCAGATCAAAGATGGCCGAATAACGGCTGTTTTTGTTTTTGGCCATATTACTACTACATGGAACATGTGTTTTGATGTAAATAAACAATCTGTTGTATACGCCACTTGGGACTCAAGTTTCAAGGACACGCTCGCGACAACCCACTCCGCTTTAATATGACGAGCACAAAGAGAACTTTCGAAAATTTAACGGGGACTGTGTCATTTTCAATGACTTTGTTCAAAATTAAATTCTGATTTATTTTGACCACAGATACACCTGTCATTTCATAAATGCAAATACAGCTCTACACCACTTATTCAACACTCAGTTAAGTATTTTTATGTCACAGAGACGTTGGTGAAAATTTATCCTCCTTTTTTTTTCTGTCTTTATTGCAGCTCATCATCCATTCCAGCCATTGTTCCTCCTCCCCCTGATGTACAACCAATTATAGACAAAATGGCAAAGTACGTAGCTAAGAACGGAGCTGACTTTGAAGCAACTGTTCGTGCTAAGGCTGATTCAAGATTTGAATTTTTACTTCCATGGCATAGTTACCATGCTTATTATGAGTACAAAAAAAAACTTTTTATTGGAGATACTGAATCGGAAATACAGGGACAAATAGACTTTGAAAATAAGACAAAAAAAAGTAAGTGACATATCATATCTTTGTATTCTACAAAAGCTAAAAAGATTGTTACTATAGGATATATTCCTTATTGTGGATAACTATTCAGTACCTGCTCCATCATCTGGGGAGTGCGTAACAAAATTAAAATTTTTTCCTGTCTGTAGTTGTTTCTGATTTTGAAATTTGAACCATATTTTCTACTTTTGGATTTCAACATATACTTAAATCTCAAACTTTTTGAACACAGGAAATATGACGAAAAGACTGAAAGTACATTTGCTGCGAGAACCCTTCTGTATGAAATGTTGAAAGCAATTGGTCATCAAACCTGGCAAACAAATTTACCTGACTAGCTTAAGGTCGCACCATACCAAAACATGTTTCTATGGAAATAATGACTTTGTTGTTCCCTGATAACGTCAAGCCTCTGGCAGCCATTTTGAATTGTATTTTAGTTGAAATGCATTCAATTGATATTATTATCAGTTTCCTCGGACAAAGTCACAAACCAGAGACTATTAATTTGGGTGTCTGTCCATCAGGAGTCATTTCTCAGTCATGCTTTGACCGATCACATTCAAACTTAACACTCAAGACCATGTATGACTTTACATATGCACGTAAATTTTCATTATCATGGGATGAAGTATGGCTGAATGGCGGCCATTTTGGTCCTCAAAATTGTTACATAAAACATGTCCGGGGTCGCTCCTTATAGATGAAGAAAGCAATTTCATTCATACTTTGTATTATGATCATGCATATTGAGTTACTGATGCACATATTTTTCTTGAGATTTGAACATAAATGACCAACTGATGATGATATTTTTTTTTTTATATTTATGTCCATACTGATTGTACAGTAATATATTGCCTGATTCACTCAAAAGTTTGCATTCAATTACTATATTATTAAATTATACTTTACATTGCGTTATTTTGAGATTCAATCAAATTTGTAGAATTGACAGCCATTTTGTCTGAAAATTGTAAAACTGTAGTCTATAAATTTTTTTCCAGAGTAATTTCTTGCAGAGGAACAGGGCTTTGTATCATACGTGTTGATGATGCATTGCTGCCACTCATCTGTCTATTGGCCAATAGAGTGGTTATTACCAGTAACAATGCTTCCCAATGAAATCATATATTACCAACATTTAGAAAATCTAGCACTACAATTAAATCAGAGCTATATGTGTTTTACTGTGGAATACTTTATTTTCGCTGGAATAATTTTCGCTGAGAAGGCTTTTGGGGCATTTTGTATGGAATTTATTTTCACTGATTTTTGATGAGTTCAATGTGAAATATAGGAAAATAAGTATATTCACTGGATTTTATTTTCACGGAATCATCCCTTCAGCGAAAATAACGAAAATACATTCCAAGCGAAAATAAAGTATTCTACAGTATATAGAGCCAATGAGTCGTGTTCCTATAATTTTACATTAGACACAGCATGTGAGACATTACCCTCATGGTTTTTTTTTACACCAATCAAATTGTCTCACAGAAATATGAAGATATACAAGTGACATTTTCATATTAAACATGTGAGGACACTGTCTCCTCCATATTACTATAAGAACAAAATATTTCATGTCTCAGTCTCATGTACCACATGGATGTATAATTGACTAGTTCTTGTATTTAGTTTCTTTGTAATTATCAAATATCTACCACAGGACCAATGTGTCTTACTTGTATCATAAATCAGGCCTGTGTCTGAATTTTAAATTTTAAAATAACATAATACTGTAATAGACATTTTGGGTGTTTTGTTTGTTTGTTTTATTTTTACTGATTTGTTGATGCGTTAAATGTAAAATATAGGAAAAGAGATATATTCTGGATTTTATCTCACTGAAACATTCCTTCAGCAAAAATAGCGAAAATTAATTCGAAGTGAAAATAAAGTATTCTACAGTACACAATTCAGGCATAATAATTGGAACATTACAGGGTTGAACCTGAGAGGGCTCCAATTTTCAAGACCAAAATTTATAAGGCCTTAGCATGTAGAGAACATTGAAGAGCACCTAGGTAAACTCATTGGACATCAAGGTAATGAAGCCTCTTTGAAGTTCAAGCTCTAGTGTGCTTGGCCAGTTGTACTGTACTGCTAGAACATGTTGACCTTCACCATGATAAATTTGTAAACAGTATCACTCTCTGACCCCTAACAGTTTATTTTCCATTATATAAATAAATATCAACACTATCAGTAGATAAGCTGATAGTTTGTAGTACAAACTAAAGGTCAGGATGACCCAGTAGAAGTCAGTCTAATATATCTATAAACCTAGTCTAGCAAGACTAAAAAAAACCTACCAACATCTGTGTAGAAAACTAATTTTTGTTTTTTCCCATTATCTTTTCCTATTTTGTGAGTTACTAGTAGTAAAATTATGTCACATTTCGCAATGTCTAAATTTTGTTTTTCGAAATTTTAGATCAAATCCTGTAGCAAATGGAAAATTACAGCATGATTATGATAGAAAAAGTGCATTATGGGAGAGATTCTAATTCACTATATTAAAGTGAAAATATTATTATGTTGGAAGCATGATGAATAACTTTTTAGGGATTCATTTTTTACTAAAATCCAATCCAAAAACAAAAATGAAAAGAAAAATTTTCCACT